GCATACAGCCAGTATAAGCTTGCCAGCATCATTAACCCTTTTATCGCCAAACTTTCCAAGCACCGACTCGTATCCTGGTCGAGCGATACCTACCCATCCATTCAAATTACCACATACAACAGTTCTTTCGTTTCCCTTAACCAAATCTAGAACTTCTCTTACATTCTCCCAAAACTCCTCCAGCTCAGCCCTGGACGACGAAGCTACCGGCGCATAAACAGCCAAAAGGAATAACTTCGTCAGTCCCATTTTGAAGCGAACCCAGAGAAGTCTTGAGTTCACAATCTTGTATTCAGTCATAAGATCGACCAATCGGGACGACAACAGCACTCCCACTCCCTGGCAGGCGTTCTCGCTTTCCGGGACTCCGGACCATATAGCTAACATCCCGCCAGGGAGCTCTTCAGTACCACTGCCTTTCCGTTTGGTCTCGACATACACAAGACATCTAATTCTCTTTCTTTCATTATTTCGATCAACTCATTCGTCTTATCTCTCATGCCCCCTCTAACATTCCACGTGTCAACTCTGCACTCCGTCCTCCACGTAAAAGGGTAATAATAATAATAATAATGTCCTCCAGACCGAATTTCGGCCACGGCGGCCTGCCTCAACAAAGGCTAACCATCGGCGCAGGACAGGATTATAGTGCCCAAGTGTAAGTGCAAGCACAGGTGCACTCTCTATTCCCCCACTCTCGTAGTCTGATGGGACGGTCAACCGACACGACTGGGAGAGAGATCAGGCGTAGGACCAACGTCTTTACGTGCTTTCCGAGGCACGGGGGTGAGAGACCGCCAACTTCCTGACTCCGGGCAACTACTGAGAGTTTCTTGACAGAAAAACTCAATAATTGATTTTTTGGCCCGACCCGGGATTCGAACCCAGGACCTCACGATCAGCAGTCTCACTACTACAACCACTAGCCCAACGAGGCGTAAAAGGGTAGTGATAAGCTGTCCACTAGCTATTCGCAACCTTCATTAGATGATTTGTATCATTAAGGACATCCTGCCGACTTATTGTTTAAAAATAAGATTATATCGCATTTAATCTTTACATACCTTTTGGAAAGTTCAGACTTCTATAAAGCTCATACAAGACATATACAATTTTATTTTTAATTTTGTCTGTCCGGGCTCGTCTTTGGAATGGCTGTAGCGATTGTAATGAAACTTTTGAACAGAACTTTAAAAAAGTCAATTCTGGGAGGGACTTGGCTACATTTTATCCGAAAAGCTTGGAGATTAAAAAAGAAACTATTGACAAAATCAATTGTTTTTGACTTGTTAAATTTAAATAACGCTACACTAATAGATTATATTCAGGCGGAGCCGAGGCGGGTAGCTGGTTTGGTAATAAAGATTTGTACTTTCTCCATATTTATATAAACATGCGAGCCGTAGCCGTAAGCCGTGTTTTTCCTCATTAACATTCTACATTTTATATAAACCGTTTTCGAGCTCTTAACATCTAATAATAATAAATACATAAACACTCACGCCTGTCACTTAGAGGGGTAGGCAGACTCTACAGACTTCCATTCGACGATCGATTCAGACGATACTGATACACCTCTCTCGCCTCCTCCACATTCATATACCTAAACATACATGCTCGTCGTTTAAGGGTACTCATAATTTGGCCTATTTTCAATATATCGATAATTTGGTCGAAAAACTTTCACCTAGGACATTCCTTTTCAACTCTGCCATTCTCTTCTGCAACCTAAATTTGCTTTGTCACTCTTTCCTCATTCATTCTTTCTACATGACCAAACCACCTAAGCCTTCCTTTCTTAATACTGATCACAACTTCATTTTGTAAACCAAACTCTTCGCTTATCACAGAATTGTTCACCCTGTCACTTAGATTCAGCCATAATATACTCCTTAACGACCGCATTTCTACTGCGTTTAATGTACTCTCGTGCTTCATCTGACACATCCAACTTTAACTACCTTACGTTAAAGTAGGGACTAATACAGCATTGTGAATTACCATACGTGCCTTTTTTATACATTCTGACTTTCCACAATAGAGTGTAGAGCCCTTTATAATCTATATAACTCTTAAGGCAGATAAAATAAATAATAAGCCGTCTTCATAGCCATTCATCCTATTTTCAGTTCATAATTTCACGCTATAACGTTATTACATAATAAAACAAAGGTGCATAAATCACATAATACCATTATTTTACTCAGTGTGTCACGAGTTACGGTCGTTGCGTAACAGCTTACTGGAGCACTTGGTGCAACCCAGTACACTACTTTCTTACCGCCACATACGGCCTGCATTCGCATGCACTGGATAAGTACTAAAATGTATAATTTATGTAACCGGTTTATTACCATCGGAAGATCATTTTATGTGGGACATAATCTGATACTGGTACAAAATAAAAATACGTAAATGTAAACTTTTATTTGTACATGATATAATAAATTTGTACACGGGAAATATTTAAAAAGGTACTAGGAGTGGGTTGGTGTTTGCACTTAACACTACCGGTGGTGATAATGCTCAAACATTTTATTGTAGAATCTATGTTATAATAATAAATTGATATTGATCGTAACTGATTCTGTAGTTGCGGTGTAAGAATATCCATTACGACATATCGTCCCATGGTGTTATAAAAGTTGACAGAGGGAAACTGAAAATGGGCAGCATCTTCCCGATAACAACTCAAAATAATAGCAAAAATAGAAAACCTGCGGTTGCCAACCCGCCTTCCAAGCGTGGCAACTATGGCAAAAACTTATATTCAGCAGTTGATAACGGATAATGGATTGATATTGATGATATAAATACGTGCTGAAATATTCCCCCTATGAAGCAATAGGGAGACCTATATGTGGCAAAGCCATGCTGCAGTTGTATTAGTGGTATAGTTGTAGCACGAATGCGTTGGCTCGACCGGGGAAGAACCACGCTCTCACAGAATACCAGTGTCATATAGTAGCTTAATGCTGCTGTGTTTCGTATGGTGAGTGTAGAGAACCGGAGACCCTTTTTACTGGAAACGAGGTATTCCATCTTAGTCCTCACGGGTGACAACGCATCTGCATTTTGATTCGTAATCGAGGACAGATGTAGATGTCTATGGGCCACAGCAACCACTTACCATCAGGTGGACTGTGTGCTCGTTTGTCATTCTATAAAAAATATAAGTACGTGCTGCGTCGCCCGAAATATTCCCTCTATGAAGCAATCTATGGAGAGATCTAAGTTTATGTGACTTTGATAGACTGTAACTGTAAAGGTGCGCTTTGCTTAGTTGCTTACTCAACGTAAAGTTATTGTCGTGATATATTTTTATTCTTATAGCAAACTAGGTACAAAATATGTCAAATTGTAAGGCATAATGTTTTTTTTACTAGTCAATCGAACAGTGTTTTTAATGATGTTCGAATATGTAGATTAAGTTATTAATTACTTCGAGGATAGTACGTGAGCCATTCAAAAGTTTTGGGAAACAAAAAAGAAAAATTATATGATAAAAGTTATTATTAACAAATCTTTTCAACGAACAGTCCACCAGCATCTACAGAAAGATTAATGTGTCTGAACCAATATTCAAAACACTTTTTCTGTCAGCCGTAAACACCTCCTCTACGTCTTTCTATGCAAGCGGCGTTAGAGCACGCTGCTGGCATCTTCCGACGATGAAACTATATACCTTCCAGCTTTTATTTTTATTTTAGACAATAAAAAGCACGGTGATAAACTGTGTAAGGAATGTGATAAACTTGATTGTTATTTGGTCGAAGAAGGTTCTCGCTGTAAACGCAGATTACGTGGGCGTGCTGTCGTGGTGAAGCAGTACACCATAAAGACCCGTTTTCGGTTGCTGGTTGTTTGCAACAGTTAACATTTCTGGCAAGCATTTGCTAATATAGCATTTGGCGATGATGTAACTTCGCTTTCTAAAGGAATTGACTCCAGACAAAAGTGAAAAAGCAGCGCTTTGACAGGCGATGGTAAACTTCTACACCAAGTGTTGGGCAACTGGGGTAGGACCACAGTTCAAAAATTTTAACTGAAAATATGGCAAATATTTAAAAGTTAAAAAAAATCACATAATTAAACGTATAATTTAATAGTAACAATAAACGTGCTTTACACTAAATTTTGGGTGATTTTTCCTTAATCAATTTCGGACTATCGTGGTTTCTTGCAGCAAATATGACGAAAGAGAATTCATTTGGGTGAAAGAATTGGACTCTACGTAAGGTAATTGCATATTTTAAGATTGACGCTTTTTGATGAATCATAAAGTAATTGCATCAAAAATTATTATATCATTTCTTAAGGTATATAGAATACAAAGTTTTACAAACGTATAATTTACCATAAGAATATCGTTTTCATATCAAAATCTTAGATCGTTTTTATTTAATATAAGGCAAAAGGGAAACCTTTGGGAACAGATTTCTGTTAACCTTGAATGAATCCCAAAAAGTGTCAATGCTGTGATGTAAAGCGTAAACCGGTATCATGTTTCCAGCCGGTCTCACTGGTTCGGGTGACACATGCGTGCAGCGCTTCCCTAAAGTATAAAAAGTATCGCTCATGTGGGCTCCTTATCAATCGAGCTCAACTCTCCACATCAACATGTACATTAAAGTGAGATATTTAATTTAAAAAATAAAAATTACAACAGTTTTAATTTTAATATGTTACCTAGTCATATTAACGTCGTCTAAAGAACTTATAATATGAAAATTGGAAATAATCACGTTATATAATATTACAATTGAGATAATTGATATAAGATGAAAGTGAAATAAATGCCTCAATTATATACAACAAAAGTTTCTCAAATAATAATTAAAAATTACGTACAAATTATCATTCTTATTATATTTTTAGGAGCATAACTTTGGTTTGATGTATTTGTATCATATATATATATATATATATATATATATATATATATATATATATATATATATATATATATATATATCAAATAATATTTTTAATTATTTCAGATTTCAGTTTTCATCCTCCTGGTAGCGTCATGCCTTGCTGCTGACGAAGGTCATGGACAAGCAGTCTCTTCACAAAGCATAGTTCATCACGACCAGCCTACCCATGGAATCGCCACTCAATTTGCAGCTGCACCAATAGTTCACCACTCCGCTCCTCTTCTCCAACAGCATTCAACTATTCTACAGCAGAGTGCGCCCGTCGTTCACGCCACCCCTATTGCCCCCGTGGCTTTAGCACGCGCTGAACATATAGAAGAAAATGTAAGTCTAAAATTTTGAAACGAAACTAAGAAAATCAAAAAATACTTAAGAATTAAACAAAACCTTATCATAATATTATATAAACAATTATTGAAGTTTCATCGTAAGGCAGTGAGTCAGGTTGAATAGAATCTCTCAACCAATTTCAAGCCATGGATGTCGTAAAAAACAACCACGGAAATTTCTAGAAAGATTTTCCAGCAGATTGCGTCATTACTCATTACGGTAGATTGCGGTAGTATGCTAGACGTAAAATGGTCTGACCGGCAGGAAACAGCGTCGAAGTCTCGACACGTCTAGGTCTGTACTACGATCACTAATCCGCCTGCAAATAACGCTTGATAATAATTACGTTCAAAATCAAATGTGAAATGAACAAAACAAAAAAAGGTTATCTCCATTTGCGCGTATGTTTTTGGTCTTATATTGTACTGCGTTTCCGTTATCGGTTGGAAATCATCAATGGCTAAAATCAAATAAGAAGTTATTTTCCGCTATCTATATAAAAGCTTCGGACTTATGTTGTTAAGTTTCTTATTAGCCGACATTAAGAAAGAAGAGGTTTTAAATACGACTGTATTTTTTGTATGAATTTGCGACATCGTAAATTGTCAAGCGATTGTCATGATTGTTTATTTTATTAAACTTCTTATATTTATGAGGTAGTCCCAAAAAGTTCCACCCCTAAACTTGGTCAAATAGAGGACGAAGTCACATTGCGTAGTTGGGTCTTTAGTTCTTCTATACACTATGTTTTTCAGTTTTTTTTAATCGACATATAAAAGTTACAGCCTATTTAGGTCCCACTACTGGATACAGGCCTCTTCTTATTTTTGAGAGGGTTTTAGGACAAGGAAATGTCCACCGCGCAGCCCCAATGCGTGTTGTTAAACTTAACTTCGAAATATTTTTTTTATTTCTCAGAAATGCTAGTTTTCTCACGATGCTTTCACCGCTGAGCACGTGGTAAATAAGCTCTTAAAAATGCTATTAATAATTTTGGTTGCTATTTTCATTTCATTTCATCAATCATCAGTATAATAACTATGTTTAACTATATTGTTTGAATTATAGTAGTGTTTTTGATGTCATTAAAACGTTTTTAGCTTGTTGCTTGTTGCGACCCTATTAAACTTTAATTGTACGAACTTATAATTAAAATGTGTTGTAATTACAGGTTCTGTTATTTATCAATACGCATTTGATTTATTTATCATTAACTGTTTCGAAATTTTATGCGTACTGAGAGTACGATATAAAATAGCTTATCATAATTTGGATCACCTACTAAAATATATCGATTCTAATAATATTTAATGTACAATAATTAATATTACAACGTCACGTACGTTATCATTAATCTTTTCTCATAGTCGTCAATCTAATTGAATAATATTATTGTTACTTTCAGGCTCCTGCTCATTATGAGTTCTCATACTCAGTTGAAGACCCTCACACCGGTGACCACAAATCCCAACACGAGAGTCGCGAAGGTGATGTTGTAAAAGGCGAGTACTCGCTTCTGCAGCCTGACGGTTCCGTCAGAAGGGTTGAATACAGCGCTGACGACCACTCCGGGTAAGATTCTGTATTTATTAAACAATAATAAAATTTCCCATTATTGGTACAGCAAGTATTTTGTTCGGATTGAATACGTCTTTACCCCAAACTTAAAACTTCTAGTAGTACCACCTATAGATTCATTATGTAGAGAAAGTAATGTATTTCTACATTCGTTTCATTGCTTTACATTGGCTTCTTCCCATTAGATTAGGTTTTTGTAGCATGGGAGAGTTCACATGTCATATCGTGCAGGTTTCTTATAATATCTCTACAAGTTCATTACTAAACGTGGGCTTCCCCCAAGCACTGTTCAACAGCCCCAAGTTCTGAGCCACCTCCAGTCAGTACGAGGCTGCCACTGAGAACCTTTTTCCCCATCGGTTGTAGATACTTGAAGCATTTCAGCTCCAATAAATTATAAATGTAAAAAAATCAAACATATCAAGTACGAACAGAAACAGTATTTGGAAGTTAAAAAATCAGTAATAATGCACAGAAATACAACTTTGTTTATGACAAACCATTATTATTTAAAGGTTCAATAATAAGATCTTATATACATGATCTTCTAATTAATAGTTACTGCATTTAGCTGTTGTTCAAAGTTGTATGCGATTCGTTTGTAAATTTCTTAACTGAATTCCCAAGCAACAAAGAACTTCCAAGCAAGCGATACTAACAATTTACAGATAAATCTTAGAACGTAGTAATTTATCCCTCGTATCATTATTCAACTGTTGATTCGGTCGATAACTTTGATAAAATCGGTTAGTTTCATACTCGCTCAAGCGATTTAACGATGATACAATAGAGCGGTGATCCTTGTTTACCGTTAGAGTTATTGCCTAATGAGTTCACCGCTGAATATAAGCTCACCCCTATGGATGGCATCATAGCGGGGGATATTTGCCATAGCGCTTGACAGGCGGTTGGACAACCAACTTTTTTTAATAGTTGATATTAAGAAAACAAACTGCTCATATCCTGATTTATTTCCTTCAGTCGCCTGTTACGACAACCTTATTATACCGACACTACATGGTTACCGTCTAGGTATTTGCAAGTAACATATAATTATTGCAATTATCCATATATTTAATTAGGGCAAGAGTACATTGCAATAAGAAAGGGTTAATACGTATATTGAGTTTTACAAGCTGATATTTCGCTACCATACAAGGTCATATATTTTCATTTGACTATTTATTCTAATGCCGATTATCGTATCTTTAATAGTTATTAACAGAACTAGACAAAGTATAAAGTCTATTTATTTTTATTTAATAAAAAAGAAGTTAGTTGATCAAAAATAACATAAAAATAAATTGTTCAATCAAAGTCTTAAAATTAATAACCTTCCTATGTAACCTAATATGCATCCTGCTGCTGGGCACAGGTATTCCTTCAATTTCCAAGAGGCTTTTGAAACAACATGGTCCGTTTTTATTATTATTCACCCTAAAGAATCCACCCTAGGGTGGATACACCTATAAAATATATGAATACTTCTTACTTGACTGCACCAAAATTTGCTGGCAATTTTAAAGAATTTAAAAGTAACTCGAATCATTATGTATCCTAATATAATTGCGTTTTATTTCGTTTGCCTTGAAACATTATGATTAACATTTCAATATTGCAACACTAATAGCTCCAATTATAATCTAACTTTTAACTTTATATTTCAGCTTCAATGCTATTGTTCACAACTCTGCTCCATCAGCGCATGCAGCTCCTGCAGCACCGGTTGTTCAAGCCGCCCATGCCCCTACTGTCCACGCTGCCCCCATCGTCCATACTGCTCCTATTGTCCATGCGGCTCCCATTATCCATGCTACCCCAATTGTGCATGGTCCCATCGTACACGCGGCTCCACTATATGCCCATCATTAATCTAACTACACATTTAACGTATTTTCCTATTAGAAATATACCAATATAAGTTATTAATTTGTATTTTATTTGTAACCTGGTTTTGTACATACATAATAAGTAACTCAAAAGATTTTTTATTACATTGATGAATACTTATTACCAATCAGTTTTTAGTTTACTAATCTAGTATTGCACATTGTCCCATTTCAATGCAACTTGAAAGAAAAGTAGTTTGAATAATAAACGTTGCAAATACCATGTAATTAAAACAAAAGAGGGAATATCATATGTGTTTTCACTAAGTACGTAACATCTTCTATTGCACATATTGCGCCATGCCAAAAAAAAAAAGAAAAAATAAAAGAAACTAGAAAGTTGTGATTGACAAATTACAGAAACCCTTCCAAATCTGGGACACCTAAATTTCCCATATAAGTAATGGAGAACAGTAATACCAGGCTCGCGCTACGGCTTTGCATTGAATCGTTCGCCTGGTCAGTGTGGTGAATAAGGCCCTTTAAAGGTAAATCTTCCAAGAATGTTTTACCTCTTGGTACCTTCTTGAATTCTTTCTTTGGCAGTGAAAAAGGCAGTTATAATGAAATGGTGCAGGGAGCACCCCACGTTGCTAACATACAAAGATCATAGCAAATTCAGTTTGTTGATGCGGTGAGTGGTTTCATCGTACGTAGGCCTCTCCCATAAACTGCCTCGTGGGGAGGATTTTGCCATAGTTATCACGCTTGACAGGCGAATTGGCAACCGCAGTATACTATTCTGAGTTGTTATCAGGAAGATGTGCAGCAGCATCACCTTGAGTGGTTTACTTGGAAATGAATAAACATATCTCACTCTGTAAAATTTCAACCATAAATTGATAATATTATTTGTATGAAATATCGTAATTTGATTTATTTTATATCTATTCTTTTTTTGGTATAATAATATTATCCCATTACGACGTAATGATTTCTTATATTTACGCGAACACTATACATTGATTAAAACTACTTTTACGGATTTTATCGCGTTTTATTTATATTAATTTTAATACCCGAGGTTTCGGGTGCTTTCCAGCACCCATGGTCACGGGGGACCCATGGCAAGGAAGTATGCAGTTTGCGATCATATTCTAGATGGCCCCAACCATTACATCAGATTTGATAGACCACAAATCCTCGCGAAAGAACATCGATTCCTACCAAGCATAATATATATAACATCCATCCATAAAAAACATCCTAATTTCAATAGAGAAGGAGGCTGGGTACTACCACCTGCTTGGGATCCTATAATTAATAAAATTAAAACTAAACCCAAGCATACCACTGCAAGACTTCAAAATACAGTTAGTTCATTCTGCGTAGATCGGACTAAAGACAGTAATTAAAAAGCTGAAGGTACTCCGGGTTAACTTTGACATCGGCACGTCAGTCACCTCAGTCCCCCGTGACCATGGGTGCTGGAAAGCACCCGAAACGTCGGGTATTAAAATTAATATAAATAAAACGCGATAAAATCCGTAAAAGTAGTTTTAAGTCAATCCATTATGACATTTTAGTCGACTTAAAAAAGGTGGAGGTGTAAACCTCCTCTACCTACGACTATATATATTTTGTGATATCGCGAAATATATGTATATTACGCGATGTCACAAAAGATCTTCATGAATTATGAACCAATTTAAATATTTCTTTAATTGTTATTTATAATTACGTAATATGAAGAAAAAATCCACCACTAAGGGTGGCAACATTGTAGATGAAGTTTTTAACGTAAAAAATTTAACGACATTGAGTTTCCTAGTTTCTAATTTCTTAGTTCACTTAAAAGAGTAAAATAAAATAACTTTTTAAAAAAATAAAATTCTATTTGCAAAAAGTTAAAAGAATAAAATAATTTCATAATCTGAAATCTAGGCTTTAATTCTTCTTCTTTTTTTTGTAGGATAGGGTGACAAACGAGCACACAGTCCACCTGATGGTAAGTGGTTGCTGTGGCCCATAGATATCTACATCTATCCTCGATTACGAATCAAAATGCAGATCTGTTGTCACCCGTGAGGACTAAGATGGAATGCCTCATTTCCGGTAAAAAGGGTCTCCGGTTCTCTAAACCCACCATACAAAACACAGCAGCATTAAGCTACTATTTTACGCTGGTATTCTGTGAGAGCGTGGTTCTTCCCCGGTCGAGCTGACCTATTCGTGCTACAACTATACCTTTAATATAACTGCAGCATGGCTCTACCACGTATAAAAAAACGTTCTGTACACAATATGTTAGCCATAACTTCAGAATGTGAAATTATTTCTGATAATTTGAATAAACACTTGTATTATATTCACAATGTTCAAAATTATTTTATTATCTAGCTCTTATTTTTTCTTAAAAATTAATTTTTCTCTAAAAATATAACGATATATTCGTATATCTTACTTATATTATATACTTATGTACGTCTTCTTGGCAGAAACTTGTAAATATTATATTGTTTTCTCTGCAAATAACCAGTCAAATGTTTCGATATTAACCAAATAGTAACAGGTAATCAATAGACTATGCTTTAATTTCAATCAATAACCACAATTAGGCGAGTGAAAGTGAACGGAGATAAATGGAGGTATGTAGATCTTTTATGGGTTTGCACAACGTAACCTGTTTATAAAATATTGAAGGACCTATTTACTAATAAACTTAAGAGAAATAAAATGGTATAAGCAACGTGTTGAGTGACGTGGTTAATATAAGCGAAACCCTCACCAAATCTCATCCCGTGAATGCCACAAGAAGACCTTAAGACCTTATGGCATCCAATACACGGCGTCATATCAACGGTAAGTTTCATCAAGGTGCAATTCATCTCGTGGATACCACAAACTATTATACTATTGGAGAGACACACGTTCAACAGAAGACTGCTTACAGGTGTTAAGGAATAGTTTAATTAGTTAAACTGCTACGAGTTTAGTAGTAGTTATATATTCAAGTTTCTTTGTATATTTTGCCAACTGTCCATAGCGTTTACCTTGAAATAATAAAAGCAAACTCGTGAAATTTACTAATAACAACAAATTTTATTGTAGTTTTTACACGTTATCCTATAGCGGTTACTCGTTGGAAACAAGTCGTTCCCAAAATCTCCCTTTCCACTTAGAATTGTCGTATTCGCAAATATTATTCTGAGGTTCCATAGTACCCTCGAACGCACAGGGTAAAAAAACTCAAATGAACGTAAAGTATGGTTAATCCGTACGACAAACCAACACAAATGTCAAATTAATAGTTTGTTTTATTGGTTACTTTAGTGATTTGTATTGAATTGTTGTTATATTTTTTACTATTCTAGGCCAGCCCACTACAACCCCACCTGATTGGTGAGTGTTGATGTAGCCTAAGATCGTGCAGCACACTGATTTAACTATAGCTTATTCACTCTTGCCTTGAAGCCACCTTGTAATCGGATGGAAAAACAGATATTGGCAACTTATTCCACTCTTTTGCTGTACACATGACGAACGATGTACCGTTTGGTTCGAATAAGTGGTAAATCAACAACGAAAGGGTGGAAACTGGCCGAACAACTGGTTGTCCGATGAAGGATGAGAGAGGGAGGAATTAAGTTATGCAATTTCTCCTGTATAAAACCGGAAAGATGCTACTTTGCACCTGTGTTCGAAGATGGTAAGATTGGTTTTAACCAGATTCGGGTCACCAATAAGCCTTTTAATATGCCTTTCAATTGAGTCCAAAGCATTTTGCAGTATCAGCCCATATATGGCAGCAATACTCCATGCACGACCGGACTTGCGCTTTGTATAGAGTAAGCAAGTGTCTCAGCGTAAAGTACCGCCGCAGCTATGAAAGGGCTCTTAGCTTTCTTGCAACTGCTTTGGCCTTGGACTCAATGAACCGCCTAAGTCAAAGTAAGGATGTCCCAACCCCCAAAAATTAAAGGCGGTTCGTATATTGGTGTCTATTTTTTAAAGTTAAAATTAAGTAATTAAAAATAATTTATTTTGGAACAAGTCAATATCACAAGTCATAGATATACATCGAAATCAAAATATTAAATCTAATTTATAATACCAATTTTTTATCAATTAGAAAAATATATATTTCATTTAAATTAAATTATGACAATTACTTAAATTCACATAAAATACACAAACACAACACAACAGATACACAGCTCTAATGTAGCCTATATTTAGGTTTAGATCCGGAGTGCTCAAAATGTAGCCTAGTCCAGTGTGGTATTACGAGTATAAGGCAATCCAGATCCATCCGCCAGGCAAACAGTTGCAGGTAGCTGTTGCAAAGCAGAGATACGCTTGTATTTTTAAGGCTTAGAATTTTTTTAATAATAATAATAATTTTATTTCAGACCATGGTCCATATTTTGTTAGTAATATCGTTAGTAACAATATTGGCTTAAAACTATGTTAGTATTGTAAGTAATTACACATTATTTTAATCCTATGACTACGCCACCCAGTGATTCTGTATGGGACAGTCATATCTTACAGATATCGCTCTCAGGATGCTGTTATTACTGTTTCGTAAGCATTGCAAGAGTGAGGCTGTTTTCTTCCGAATGATCGCTGAAAAAGTGTCAGTACGCGCTTGTGCAAACATACCTGATGCACTGCAATGCCACGGCAGCCGCAACAACATCCTAAAGCGTTATTATACTGTGCGCGCAGAGCATTGTAAGCTTGACTTTGATATGACACCCACAGGGCACTAGAGTAAAATGATTGACAAAACGCTTTGAAAAGCGTTATTTTAACTGTATCTGTACATCTAGTGAACCTGCGAGCCAGCATATTGGTTCTCACTGTCAACGCCCTGCGCTCCCTTTCTATGTCCTCGTCATCCCGGAGGTCTGCTGTCACAATGTGACCCAAATATTTAAAACTGTCTACCAGCTTTAGAGGCACCCCATCGAGGGCTACTGGAGGTACACGGGAGGGCTGGTGTTTACCTGCTTTGAACACAAGAAGTTGGCTTTTGTT